TAGTAGTTGAAGTGAAGATTTTCAAAGTTTTGGGGTTATTTTGAAATTTATGTGTTTTCTTTTTAAAATATATATAATTTTATTTTTTAAATTTTATATAAAAAATTAAAATTTTCTAATTGTGACACGTGTCACTCAACGGAAGAAATTAACGTCGTTGACGGTCCGAGGACCTAAAGTGATAGCGTTTGTAACGTTTAGCACATGGAAGGTCCAAAAAGTATTGTAGACAACTATTCGGAAAAAAGATATAATTCGAGTCCTTATTTAAGTATTAAGCTTAATAAAAATATCTAAAAACTTCTTGTTAACAAGACTTAAACCCTAAATTTAAATACGTTTACACAAACAACAAGATATTTTTTAATAATAAAAGAATTATTATCCGTACACTAACAGTGAAAAAATATTTCACAAGCATAGTTGTATTGATGTTATTTGTATTATTTAGAGTTTAGGGTTATATGTTTTAGGAGTAAGGTTTAAATTTAGAATTTAGTTTAGAGCTTAAGAATTGATATTTAGAATTATTTAAATACATGAAATGACAGTCGGATAATTATATTTGTAGAATCTAAATTTCACGTAATAAAAACAATTAAAAACTTATTAACTAAATTGAAAACCTAAATTTAAATGTGTACACAAACAATAAGATACTTTTAATAATAAAAGGATTATTATCTCATACACTGATGATGAAAATATATTTTACAAGTAGAGTTGTATTGATGTTATTTGTATTATTGAAAGTTTATACTATATGATTTAGGGTTTAAAAATTAAGGTTTAGGCTTGAGGTTTAGGGTTTACACTTTAGGGGTTAAAATTTAAATTCATTTTAATATATCGAGTGATATTTTTTTGATAAATCTGGGGTGAATATAATGTAGTATATGTTCATAGACTCTCAACCTTTTGACAATGAATGCTCATATCCCCTACATATGCGGTGCTCAAGCTCAGGACCTCAAGGGACGACAACAAATTTCTTAACCACTGAAATCGCATAGTTCGTGCTATCAAGTGGCATTCAAATAAATATGTTCGTAGAATTTAAATTTTATATAAAAGAAAACATCTATAACAACATGTTAACAAGACTGAAAACCCTAAATATAAATGTGTACACAGACCACAAGATAATCAAAATACATAAAATTAAAAAGGAAAAAGTAGTGGTTTCGTTTTTCAGGGTACCATGAGGAAAGCAAGAAAAAGAAAAGGGTTCCACCTGAGTTTGTCATTCATTGGTTGTAGCATGTAAGTACACAATTATCATTTTTTTTCTCCCATGAACCATAATAATCAAGTGATGCACATGCTAGATCTCTTAGTGAATAGTGAAATATAAGTTTTAGTTAACCTATACTTAACTTAAGTTGCCATCGACAACATACATTTAAAAAAAACAAAACTATGACACAATAAACCTTAACATTCTCCTCCATAATGTATTGTTCGTGCACTTTCGAAACCTTGATGCGATTCTCCATGATTTTCTTTGATTAGAGAGCTCTTGTGGGTCATCATAATCATAAATTGTGTTCCCCATGTTGAAAGTGTAACTTTATGCTTCAAATTGTTTAATTAGGTTAACACTCCAATTCATGTGCATCATACTTTGTTTAACTCAAATCATATATAATGTTTGATTCTCTAATCTAGAGATCAATTTATCATCCACAAGATTGGGGGATGCACTTTCAAGTCTCTACGTCTCTAACTTTCTTCTTTTTCACTTCTTCTATGAGAAATCATAATTGATGAGGATTATAGGTATCGATGGATAAATTATGTTATTGAACTTGTGAAATATATTTTTGAATTGGAGGGAAAAAATAAGAAGAAAAGTTGATGGTTTGAAGAAAAAATGGTAAAGATGAAAAGCTAACGGGGAAAAGATATATTTCTAGACATGTTAGTGTAATATGTGTAAAATTGAAGAAGTATGTGTAAAATCAATTTCAATTGTTAGTTAGAGTTAAAAATCTTGTAAGCCTTCATTTGTTAGCCTTCATATGTAAAATTGAAGAAATATATGTAAAGTCAATTTCAGATGTTAGTTAGATAGGTGAAGAATCTAGTAAGCCTTCGTTTGTTTATGAAGAAGATAATTGATCATAACAAAAACAATTAAGAATATTGGTGTTTCTTATTCGTTCTCTTTTCTCTCATCTCTTCTTCTTCTTCTTCTTTGTATTTTCTTGTATCAGAGCCTTAAACTTGACACTCGACATGACTGAAAATATCAAATCATTAGACTTTTAGAAGTTTGAGGAATACATAAGAAAATTCTTAAAGAAAATTATGGCAATATCATATAAGCAAAAAATGATCCTAACAATATTGAAACAAGACCTTTCAGCCCTCAGTTTTCTACAAAATATGAAAAAGTTATTAAGTCTCAAGCAAACATGAATTTCAAGTCACTCTGATGATGAATGTGATATTCTACATTCGACTATAACATTTGGATCAGGTTTAGGATGTTACAGGAGGGATTAGCCATTTGTTGCTCAGATCACTAGGAATTTGTTATGGTCGAATGTATGTTTTATATTTTTTTCTTCCCTCTTTCCTTTTTTTCTTTTCTTTTCTGATTTTATACTTCTTTTCCTTTCACATAGCTCACTATTCCCTTCATCAAATGGTCGTGACTCACGATCAACGTGGATCGTTCTTGATTTTGAGCCAATCGATGGTAAGTGTGTCTCTCCCATATATTTCTTCTTCTATGGTTGTTGGGTCTGATGTAGAGGGTATGGTTTGACTTTCGAGTTAGGGAGAGGATGGTGAGGTTATTACATGAGGGTTGTTGGTTTAAGATGATGCGAAGCATAGGGTAATATTAGGTATGACTCATAAATATACCGGTAAAGAGGACTGATAAGCTTGATTAATGAAAATGGTGACGAGGGGCCGAGAGACTTTCGTGCCTCCCCGATACTTGATTCTTCCTCTCTTTTTTTGTTCTTCCGAATGCTACCCTCCTAATATTTCTTTAGGTTTGGCTTAAACGAGAAATGAGACGCTCAACTAGATGCCAACTATGGTTCAAAGGTGATTAGGTGAAGATGTTAGGAGTAAGGTGTGTGGATACAAATGCAAGGACGTTGGAACAATGCATTCAATGTAGTGTTGAACTTTTATCTTGTATTGTTATTAATGAATTTATCAAGCGACCTCAGTAATAAAAAATAAGTGTTGTTTTCCTTCGAAGTATTGGGTTCGAGCAGTTACGTTTGTAGAGTGTGTGAGTTTTCAATAATTTAGAAAAATTCTAGCAAATATTGTATTGTAATCACTTCAGACTAATCAGAATAATATAATTAACAAAACACACACACACACATATATATATATATATATATATATATATATATATATATATATATATATATATATATATATATATACTATTAATATATTACATAATTCAAGACAAACTCTACCCCATATATTTAATCCCAATTCAATGGATCCAAGCTCAATTTTACCAAAATGGGCCCAAATCCATATTAATCCAATCATTTAAATCATCGTGAAACAAAGCTTATTCCAAGTTGTCACCCTCGTGCTGCTTAGCAAACCAAATTCAGACTATAATATGATGCCTACAGTGCTCTAAATTTCTTTCTATTTATTGAAATATATTTTCATTCGATACATTTTCAAACACATGATAAGGATTTGACCTCTAAAAAGCCTTTAGGTATACGAATAATTGAATATTTCCATATCCAACATTCATACTCGAGTTCGAATATTATAATCTATGACATACTTACCTGATATTTCTGTTTGTGAAGTTTAGCAGGCGTTGCATGGGCAAGAAAAAGGTTATGAGCAGCAATGTGAGGTTCAATGACTTCATTACCAATGTGATTGAAACCGACGCAATTCAAAAATTTAATGATGAAATTGAATTTTTTAAAAATAAATTGAGTGACCAAAACAAAAACACAAATAAAATTGAGTAGACAAAACGAAAGTTTACCCATATAAAATGAATTGGTCATATATGATATGAAAACAACATACATAAAGTAATTAAAACACAAATTTGTAACATAAAAAAAATTATACTCAAATGTACATTCATAAAGGTAAAATATGCTTTAAGTCCTTATACTCTTCTTACATTCAAAATTTAGTCTCTTTACTTTCATTTTGGTCAAAAACTTTTCAAATATGCTTTTAGTCCTTGTACTCTTCAAACATTTGAAATTTATCTAATATGTAATTATATTAATCTTAATTGTTATTATATTTTTAAATTCAAAAATCATATATATACAAATGATATTAGATAAATTTTTTGTTCTATTTTTTATGGTCCAGTCCATAATTTTTTTTTGAGTCCGTCATTGTTTTCAGAACAACCATTTTTGTTACATATCGTTAAAACAAGCTGATGTTATACATTTTATTCTTCCGCTATTTTTTTTCCTTTCTCATTTTTTTCCATGGTCGGATTTTCTTCTTCAATGTCCGACTCTGAACCTACTATCCCTCCTAGCTTAAGCCAGACGAGTTAATAATATTAACTTTATTTTAAGGATTTAACTTGTTTCATATATTTTGTTGGGACTAATTCTATATTCGATCTCGGACAGTCTACTCCTTCAATTTGTTTATATACGAAGTAGAACTCCATGTTCTCCATTTGAATTCATCAAGCAACCTCGGTAGTTTAAGAGTGTTATTTTCTCTTGATGTCCTACTCTCTTAAGGTCTTGAGTTCAAACAATAGTGTCTACAGAGTATATATGCATTATCAATAATTAAAAAAAAAACTAGAGCACATACTAATCTTATAAATATCCTGAACTATTAGAACAAACTCTCTTTTCTCCATTTTTGTTTTGTTAGAAGCTTAGTTATATATTTCTTTAAAAAAAACTATAGCTTTATATATGGAACTAAACAGAATATACAGAACTACATGATATCAACCGCAGAAGCCCAACACTCTTGCCCATTGGACCCAATTTCCCTCTCTTTTAAGCTGGAATTATTTAGTTTTAAACCAAACAAAAAATAATATTATTAAAAAAGAACTCCATAGTTTCTCTTTCAAGAAGCTCCTACTCCAAGGAAATCAATGAAGGATATGTTGTTGATCTTCAAATCTCCATTTGCAGTTGGGGGTTGGTTGGTCCTATTTGTGCCCACTGACTCAGTTGCTGAAACATCTGAGTTAGAATCTGATGAGTTAGCATATTGGTCCACACCCATACCGACTCCCATTGGTCCTTGTTGGTAACACACATTCACTTTTTCACCTGATGAACATGCAAAATCATCATATTCCCTCACATGAACAAATCAAAAACTTGAAAAGCAAGTGATCATGGAAAAAAAATAGACATACCCATTGGACTAAAAGTGGTGAAAAATGAAGAAGGTGTTAGTGCTAGATCAGTGCTAGTAGAGGCTGATGAAATGGTTGATTGGTCACTGCTGGCATTGGCCTGAGTGGTGATGGCTAAAGAAGAAGGCTTCCTCCTATAAATGCTTGATTGCTCTCTATGTTTCCTAGCCATGATCACATGCCAATGGTTCTTGACTGCATTATCAGTTCTACCAGGGAACAGTCTAGCAATCATTGCCCATTTGTTGCCATACACCTTGTTTGCAGCTAAAAGCCTCTCTTCTTCTTCTTCACTGAATGCTCTCCTATTGATCCTTGGATCTAGCTGATTAAACCATCTTAATCTACAACTTTTCCCTGAAAAAACAAAGGAAACCCATTTAGGAGAAAGATCAAACATTTGCAAACTAATGATTATGGTTACCAAGATGGGAACTTTTTTTTAGTAAACCTGATCTCCCGTCAAGTTGTTCAGCTATCAAGTTCCAGTTTTGAGGACCATATTGAGCTACCAGCTCTTTTAGCTTAGCATCTTCTACTGGTCTCCAATGGCCTCTACAACAAAGCTTAGTGTGTCCATTTTTGGTACCACCAGCAACAACAATACCAGAGGCTTTATTATTCCTTCCATTTTCAGCATCTAAATCCAAAGAAAATCCAGCAGAAGCAGCAGCCTGAGTAGTTCCCCTGCTTTGTAATGGCTCAAAGCTCAAACATTTATTGCTTTGTTCCATTAAAGAGGTTGGAATCTGAAACCCCATTTGAGAGTTGGTAGCAGGGCGAGACAAAAAACTCATCTCTTGTAGACTCATTGTTCTCAAAATCCAAGAAATAAAACCAGATGATCAAAGAAGATGAGCTTTTTTTCTCTTTCAAGTCTCAACCATTCAAAGATGAGTATTTGGGAAGAGAGAAAATGAGAAAGGATGGGGTGGAAAAGTTGTTGAGGGAGCTGGTGTCTTTCTAAAACAAATGTGTGAAGAAATCAAAGGGAGAAAACAGATTATTGAGAAGAAGAGAAGAGCGCACACGGTTCTTGATGTTTTTGTTTGCAAACTGTGTTGGTTCTTTGGGTTTAAAAAGGCCATGGAAGATGAGGTTAGGGCAAGGGGGTGAAGGGAACATATTTATTTATTTATTGACTAAACTAAGTATTTAGTCATCCACCTATTCTAATGATTATGTTTTGGTCATTCAACTATTTTTTTAAAATCACATCTAATATTATATCTTAATCACCAACTGTTAAAAAATTAACAGTAGTGCTGATGTGTCACCATAAAGTAATATCATGTTAAATTAAGTATTAAAATGTAATGTTAAATATGATTTAAAAAATAATAAATTGGTGACCAAACCAGAACTATAAGAATAGATGATTGACTAAATATGTAGTTTATCCTTATTTATTTTATTGATAAGCAAAGCCTGGGGCTTTGCATGCAACTCGAGAACCGCTCGTGTGGGTGTTGGGACTGTGTGCCTCTCCTCATTGTTTTTGCTTTAGGTTTTGTTTTGTTTAATCAAATAAATATAATATTAAATGTTACTTATTTATTAATTATTAATAATCAATTAATCTAATAAAATCAGATATTAAATTTTTTAAATAAAGTCATAAAAATATTAAATTTTATTTTGAATTAATAGATTAATATTTTTTTAAATAAAATAGGGAAAAGGATATAAAAAAGAAACACTAATTTTGAGAAAATGGGGTAAATGATGAAAGGGTGTTCACATAGGGGATTGAAGCAGAAAAACCAGAATCTGTTTGTCCTTTTCTCGAACACTTTTGCTTTTATACATCTTTATTCAAAAGGATTTCAGAGTCCCCATTCCAGCTCCCCCCACTACCCTCAATTTATCCTTTCTTAATACCCTCCTTCTTTTCAAATTATAAATTTTTAAAAAATTATAATCTTAAATTTTATATTTAAAATATAATTTAAACTGAATTACTAGTAATTCTAGAATTAAAAAATAATTTTATTGGATAAAAGATCAAAGATTAGGGATAGTTATGGGTTGGATCGAGTCATATTAAATTTTTTGTTGACCTAAATTCGACTTGAGTATTATATCCTCACTCAATACTTAACCCGACTTAGATTTAGAAAGGTTCATCTGATTCGAGTTTTGAGGTAAATCACACTCGATAGGATACACAAATATAAAAAACATTTTTATTCAACAAAAAAGATATCTAATTAAAAAACTTAAAATAATGAGGATAGTATTTGATCAAATGTTTTGAGGTAAAAATCAAATTTTATTATAATAAAAATTGATTATAGACTTAGATTCCATGATAACAAAATTTGATTATTATTATATTTTTTACACTGATTTGGACATTGGAGATTGCTAAACCGTCAAAACTTAAAATAATGAGGATATATGCCCAATAAGGCATGAGGGGAGAGCTTCCCAACACATACATTTTTTTAGCTGACCCTATTCTCATATATAATAGGATAAGGGAGAGGTAGGGTAGTATGCTGCCCTCAATGTTAGGTTGAGAGCAACTTCCGTGAAAGACTTTCGACAATTATGAATTACCTACTGTACGACTCGATCCCACGACCACAAGATTAAGAGCCTTGTGCTCTACCAACACAGACATAGATTTGTCTATTTCAACCATGTGATTTATGAATCAACAATTCTACAATAATATTTAATTTGATTAGTATAGTTATTGATGTAACATATAAAAAAATACATAAATTTGAATATACTTAAATGTGTAATGATTTATGAGAGAATAAATATGAATAATTCAAGTATTATATCAAAAAATACAAAGTCATCTAGTGATAGATATGTATTTTTTCTAAAATTATTTTTTATTTATTAATAAAATAATTAATTACATTTCCCTCACGAAATATAAATTTATTGATCAATGATTAGGCAAATCTTCATTATTTTTATATTATTATAACAATAACAATATCAACCAAGTACAATGCCCTTTAGTTTAATGCATATATAAATGTATATGAACTTTCTTATTTGCCCTTATAAAAGTAGTATAAATCTGAACCCACTAAATAATCTCAATAATAAGAGAAAATGTTATTTTTAGAGATATTGGATTTGAGCGATTGTGTCGTCTACATAGTGTATGTACGTTAAGAAAGTTTTGAACATATATTTCCTTTATAGTAATCCCAGACTATTTACAAAAAAACATTATCATGCTTTGCATGCACATGAAAATGCAATGAACATAAATAAGTGATAATATTATGTTTTAAAAAAATAAAAAAATAGTTTAGCATAAGGAGATGTTAGATTTTTAAGTAAGTGTAAGGGTTTTAATTTTAACATTATGAATTGAAAAAATTGAGACGATGATAGTGGTGAATTCATAAATATTTTTTAGTTTAGCACACCATTATGATATTATGAATTGAAAAAATTGAGACGAGAGTAGTGGCGGATTCATACATATTTTTTAGGTTAGCACACATTCATTAATAGCATAATTTTTGTATGAGGTGGACACAAATAAAATTTTAGGATAGACATAATCAATAAAATAAGTAATTGATCCAAGAACGTTCAGATTTCAGGATGTACATGTGCTCACCCTAAATGGATCCGCCATGGAGTGAGAAATTTCCTTTACAGTATTTGATTTAAATTAATTGACCAATAAACTAAACATAGATCGTTATACTAAAAATAAAAATATTTCAATTTTCGAAACTACCAACATGCATGAAGGGTTTTTTTTTAGTGATTCTCACCACTTGGAACTTTCAACAAACTTGAAAATATATAATCTCTGTTTTGAAAATCGGATCGGACCAGCCGGTTCAACCGGTTCAACCGGGAATCGTTGTTTAGTCCAGTTCAATCTAAACCGGTTGAACTGCTATTAGTGAACCGGTCAGAACCATTGAACCGTTCGAATCGGACCGGCTGAAAACCGGAAAAAAACGGGATTTTTGTTTTTTTAAAAAAAATTAAACCAAACAACGTCGTTTGTTAAACTAGCCAAGTCGAACTCGAGTATTGCAGAGCTCGACTCGAACTTGAAAACTTTAAAAGTAAGCTCAACTCAACTCAAACTCACAAGCTAAAAATTATCAAGTTCAACTCAAACTCGAAATATAATATTGAAACTTGAACTCAAAAAGGCTTGAACTCAAAAAAAATTTAGAAGCTCGATTGAAGCCTAAAATTCGAGCATGATTGAAGTGAAAGAATAATTCACTCAATGCTCACCAAAAGGCTCTATGATTTTAAATGCCAAATTACCTCTATTATTTATAGAAGTTAGTTGTGATGCACTTCTATGTTTCTTAGCAATGTGAGATTGTTTTGTTCTCATTTTTTACTCTTTAGACTTTTGGGATGCTCTTCTATATTTCTTAGCCATGTGAGATTGTTTTTAAAAAAAATTAAACCAAACAATATCATTTTGTTATGATTTTTTAACCCAAAATTTGTTTTTTAATTATAGTTATATAATTATATTTATTATTTAATATGTTTTACCTTAAATATTATGTTGTAGTTAATTTGAATCATTTTGTTTCACTTGATTTTATGGTTTTTAACTTATATATGTTATGACTTGCTTTGAATATGACTTGTAATATAAAAATTATTTTTTATTAAATATTTTTGGTATTTTTATTTAATTTTTTAAATAATTATGACGTCGTCTGATTCTTCCGACCGGTTGGACCGGCTCGACCGGTTGAACCAGTGAATCGGTAGCATGACCGGTTCGCTAACCGATCCGGTTCTGAAAACCATGTATATAATACAAAGTATTTATACTCAGGTGCAATAGATTTGAAGATATTAATTAATTAAGTGATTGGTGGTGATAATTAATTACCAAGTGCTTGACTGGTTTTTCCACAATCAGATATAGTATTCTTTTTTTTAGTTAGGGGAATCTTCAGTTAATATCGTGGAAATTTCTAGTATGATATTGTGTATTTTCATACTTCCTAAATTTCTAGTATAACTTCCTAAATTTCACACTTAGTTAATATAATTTTTAAAATTTTAAAATTATTATTTATATTTTATTATTAGTTTAAATATTAATTAATTTTTTATAATAATTATTTAATATTTTATTTTACAAATAATTTAAAAAAAACATATATTTATATTCAAATATTGAACTCCACATTAAAAATTCAACATTTAACTCTCCTACGATAGTTTTTTAGTGTAAAGTATATAAAATATTGTTTTGTTGAGTCGCCCGACTATTAAAAGTTATAAAATGGTCACCCGACTATTTATTATATTTTAAACTAGTACCTTTTTGTTAAAAAAATTAACGGTGGTCTAAGCTAGACGTTAACCTGCTAACTTCTGATCTCAAATCTCAAACGACTATCATATCTCAATTAGCATGTTAACGTCTCAGCTAAGAAAACCATTAATTTTTAATGGAAAATGATGAGTTTGAAACACAATGAATAGTCGGGTGAACATTTTATAACTTTTAATAGTCGAGGGACTCAACAAAGTAACTCCCTATAATCAAAGGACTATTTTGTACTTTTTAATAGTCGTGTGACTCAACAAAGCAACATCCTATAGTTGAGGGACCATTTGTATATTTTATCTAATTTTTTAATATACCAAAAACTAATAAATAAATGTTTTCTACTTTCATTGTTGGTGGGGGTGAGTCATTCAACTTGCCTTTTCTATCTTTGCTTTTTGAATGATTTTTAGGTTACTTTAATTATTTTGTATACTTTACTAAGGCAAGGTTCCGTTAGCTAACCTATTAAAGATCACAAGTTATAATATATTCTTCTCCTCCTTTTTGACTAATGAAATCATTGCCCCACTTTTTATGCTTTCATAAAATACTCAATATTTTTTCATTATAAATTTATAGTATTTTATATTTACATCCTTAATTTAGTTGCCCATTTATTGGTTTCCACCCTATTATATATATATAAGCATTCAATATGCGTATGATCCTTAACTATTCGGATATATATATGTTAGGGCATCGTACCTTGAAAATTTTAAATTTATATACAATTTAAATCTTTTTTTGCTAATAATATAATTTTACATCTTTAACTTTTTAATATAACTTCTTAAATATTAGATTAAGGTACCCAAAGATCCCTTGACTATACGATATTACTTTGTTAAGTCACCGATTATTAAAAGTTACAAAATGATCCTTTGACTAAGGGAGTTGTTTTGTTAATTCCCTCAACTATTAAAAGTTACAAAATGGCCATCCGACTATTCATTATGTTTCAAACTCGTCATTTTCCGTTAAAAAATTAACGGTCGTATGAGTTGGATGTTAACATGCTGACTGAGATGTGATAGTAATTTGAGATTATGAGATTAGATTTTGTCATATCTCAGTCAACAGGCTAACGTCTAGCTCAGGCTGCTATTAATTTTTTTAACGAAAAAGAAAGAGTTTGGAACATAACGAATAGTCGGGTGATTATTTTGTAACTTTTAATAGTTGATGGACTCAACAAAACATCTCCCTATAGTCAGATCATTTTATAACTTTTAATAGTCGATGAGTCAACAAAACATTATCCTATAGTCAATCTCCCTATAGTCGGACCATTTTATTACTTTTAATAGTCAGTGACTCAACAAAATAATATCATATAGTCAAGGGACAATTTGTGTACTTTGCCCTAAATATTAATATTCCATACATAAAATTTTACGTTATATATAATATGTGTGTGTATATTGTTTGTTCTAGGTATGGATAAAGTATCACACATATCATGCATCCATGAGAAAGCTGTGTCACAATGCCTAAGCAGGTTAGTTTGTAGGGAGACTGTGTTTTGTTTGTTGCAAAAGTAATGATAACCAGCTCCTTTCGTTTAGCTTCTTTGACTGTCGAATCATTCTATTCACTGGACACTGCTACGGTATCCTTTTATTTTAATTTTAAAATACCATTGATTGAATCTCTAAAATATGGTACACATCAAAGACACCCATATATAATGTATATACGTACCTTATAAATACATTCAAGATCTTTAAAAATATATTAACACTCTTTAACCATCGAAACCGCTTAATATATTCAAATCACTGATTATTTTTCGTATTCTTGATATAGATATTTAAATGCATATATAATATTGTGCACATACCTCGAAGGAGGGTACGTTACGGTCGTGAACACATTTATGTATCATTCGAAAAACGAGGCAATGAACAGTTACAACGCACACACGTTGTACTAGTGATCATGTCAACAACCGATACCTCGTTCTTCAAAACAATAACCTAATAAGTCTGTTTTTGCAACGTGACAAGTTTTCTTTTCAAAAAACAAAGTAATACTTTTGTTATTATTATTAAATATACGAGGATCAACTTACATAAATAATGAGTAATTATATCAAAATGAATAAAATATTATAAAATGATCATTAAATTTATCGAGTTATTTTAAAATGATAATTAAAATTTATCAGTTATCAAATTATTACAAAATGATCTTTAAATTTACTGAAGTTTATCACTATTTTATAACGTGCAATGATAAAAAATCATTTCAGCGTAGTTTTAGTGACAAGTGTGTACTTTACACATATATTTTGATACTTGAATTTGACATCAATGTGTAATTTAGTATTTTTTATTGTTCATTTAGCTATCTAAATTTGACTTTAATGTTTAATATGAGATTTCAATTTATTTTCGGTCCGATTAGGTATTTAAGCCTGACTTGTCGATTCAAATTGGTATCCAAATTTTACTTTTTGATCCAGATTGACACTTAAAATAATTTATTTACTTGAATGAAGTCAAGTTCAGGTACCAATTTGAACTTAAAAGCCAAGTTCATATACGTAATTGGACCAACTTTAGATATCAAATTAAACCTTAAAATCAAGTTTAAGTATCCAATTAGGAAAAAAAAAGTAAAATATATACTATCACTGTATTCAACATTCAGTTAAGTAGCACAAACTAAGTAACCTCAATTATTAAAACGATGATTATTATTCCTTGAGACATTAGGTTTGAGCATGATGTTTGTAAGGGTATATGAGCACTCATTATTAAAAGTTTGAGAGTCTTTTAAACATATATTTACTTATAATCACCTCAAATTATTAAAAAAAAAATATCGATTTAACTTTTTTAAGTGATATAAATATAATTTTTATTTAGAATGAATAATCAAATACTATATATATATATTGGTTTAAGTAGGGGGTTTGGCACATGCATGGATTTTGTCCCTTTGTGGAGACCGTTTTAGAAATTTGGAGTATTTAAAGGGGAAGGGAACCTTTAGTGACGAGAGTCCGTTACACGTGCGGGTGGATATTGTCCGAACACGTGTGTGTGCTGAGTGCGTACTGTTTATTTTGTAACGGCAGCCGAAAAGAAAACCATAGTAACGATAACGAGATTTTGGACTCTATGGGCCCATCTCTTTTTCTTTAAAATAATCAACAATAAAATGTCAAAAAAATAATTTAAATCGATAAATATCACTGAATTTTAGTTTCATGTTTAATAAGAGCAATAGGTTGTTAAATCCTCAAGGACGTGATCATCTGATTATTTATTTCTTGTGAACATTAGTCTGTATATGAATTTTATCATTAAATTTCAAAATATTTTACTTTTAGGCACTTAATTCTAGTTTACATATCAATTTAGTCCCCTATTAAAAAAATAGCAACTCTTATAACAGTCATTGTCGATCAATTGTCACCCTTTACTGGCTAACATTCACAATAAGATAAGTACTAAAATATTTGTATTTCACTTTTAATTATATTACTTTTTTAACGGCAAGTAATCAAAATGAAACCAAAAAGTAATGTTAAGTATAATTTTGAAATATAAAATAATTAGATGACCAAAAAGGAACGTGAGTAATAATTGGGGTACTAAACATGTACTTTACCCTAAAAAGTAAGGCAAATGGATGAAAAAAATGAACATCATGACTTGTAGCTGATAGAGACTAAATTACTCCGTTTATTTTTAGAGGATCCAATTTACTCATTAACAAAATTGAGAGGACCCCAAAATTATTTTGACCAAAATTTTGCAGCCTAGTATCAAAAGGGGAAAAAACTAAAAACTACAAATAAGAGAGAAATTACCAGTATAGGGATTGAAGCAAAAACTAGTTCAAGATTTACTGAAGACACTTCTAAATTTGCAAGAAAAACAATCCAAAGAGAAAGCTGCAAACAAATTACAATACCATTCATGTCTTTGCCACCCTAAGAACCATAAAAACCAAAGCCTCTCTCATACAATTCTGTCCCGGTGCATCATTGCTTCCAAGGACTGAATCCCGACGCGACACTAAAAGGAATTTCCGGCCTCGAGAATGGTATTATTTTGTGCAATGAAAAAAAAATTAGAATGACTACACAGTAGAATTAGTTATATTGTACGTACCGAGACATTGACCACGTCATGGTGTACCAGGCAACTACTAGACTGAAAAAAGACTAAAAAGCTACTGCTGGCGGTAGTGTCTACGCGAACGGGTTTCCTCCGATGGAAGCAACAGGCCCTCTACTAGACTGAAAAAAGACTAAAAAGCTACTGCTGGCGGTAGTGTCTACGCGAATGGGTTTCCTCCGATGGAAGCAACAGGCTCTTGGGCCGGGACATTCCTGTTGATATGTATATATATAAAAAATTAACTTCCAAAAGCATGATATATGCACAGTCACTTTCATTTTCTTTTGAAAATTGAGATGACAGTGATGAAATAGACGATAACATGATAAGCAACTTACGGTAATTGTGAACTTGGTGTTGCTGGATTCTGAGGAAGCCACGGTTGAGGTACACCACCGAGAAAGGGAGAAGGCAAGTGAGCATTAGGAAGTGTGGCTTTTATCGAACTTATATCAAAGAACTGCAATAAGCCATAAACCAGTAAGAAATTTTTTAGAATCAATATTACAAGTGCCCTTACCCACAAGAGATATGTTCCAAATCAACGTAAAGCATGGAATACTAAACGGGAAGGACAAAACAAACATTATTGACATCCTCCGGGGAAAAAAGTGTTCTCCAAGCATGCTAAGATAGGTAGGTGAAAGAACTAAAGCAACATGCAGTTTGTTTATAATATGCTGGAGATACCGACAAACAATGACAGATAAAATCACAGTAAATATTCCCTTGGAAGAAATGGTAAGCAAACTGAACCACCCATCCCCATAGAACAGTGCAAAAAGGTTACATGGATAAACAGATGCATTTTATCCTCGAGTAAAGATTAATCACTTTTATAGAAACAACAAAGTATGAAGATATCGAATGATCAACATGCATGATATATTGTCAGGGGAAAAAAACCTTGATATACCATATCGTTTTGTTCCAACTCAGAATCATAAGGAACATCAAATGGGTTGGTTGATTTATGATTGGCAGCATGTGACTCTTTCTCTCCCTGCAAAATAAGTTCAAAACCAAAAACGAATTAAATAAGCGATCGAGAACAAAAGAACCAGTAAGTTAAAAGAACAAACCAAAAGTGGATTCATCGATGGAGCATATGATGGTGCTATTCCGTTCTCTGATGGAACAGTAGCAGCAGCAAAACCAGATTGGGAGTCAGCTTTTTGGATGCCATCATTATCGTGGTTCTGCAGGAACAAACATTTTAAACATAAGTTAAAGAAAAGTTGATATTTTGGCATCATTAGAAATAAAAGTAGCGAACCTCTGAAACTGCTAAGCCCAAATGTTCATCAGTGCTTGCCAAATGATTGTATGTTACTACTTGAGGTCCAACAGGAAGTAATTCAGCAAAATCATTAAAAGCATTCCATGACTGTTCAAAGACAGTGGGTCACTTGACTATATGTTTGACAGGAGATAAACGTTTATATTTCAAACCATAAGCATATGTAGGCCAAGCGAAGTGGCTGACCTGAGTGCCAGTTGCAACAGTGGATGTTTGACCATCATGCCCCTCTTGCCATTGACTAGACATTGTTGACCTATCCCTAAAAGCACTATAATTTTCAACACATAACCACTGCACGGTTGTGTTTAGGGATGATGGTTGGTCAAACTTCACTGACAAATCTTCATCACTGGGCATCAAAGCAGGTAAAAGATTTTTGGTTACTGGATCAGATGCTGCAGGCTGAGGACTATCAAATGTTGCCCATCCTTCATTTTTAGGTACAGGTAACTCGGACGATTTTCCATCGAAACTTGTAGCTGGTTGCTGCTCAACAATCCCAGCAAATAAGTCTATAGATGGAGGAGGTTGGTCTAAATTCCCAGGTGGCGTTGATGAGACTGCAGCAGGTTGTAATAAATCTTTGGAAGAAACTGATGATATTGCAGGTAACTGAAACAAATCTATTGGTAGAGAAGCAGAAGCCTCAGGTGTATTAAAGAGATCCAGGCCACCATAATTCACGGGAACAGATGACTGCGTGATGGTAGATGTTTTAGCATAACGGAACTGATCAGTTTCTTCAGGTTCAGAGACAACATTATGGTCATGCTGACTTGTATTAACATGCTTTTATTAATGACACATTAAACACCTAAGCTAGATTCATATTCCAGCAATCAAAAAGTCAGCAAAAATAACATTACCACTTTCAAGAAACGCTAATGTTATCTCCAAATGAGAATTTAATTATAGGTCTTTGTGCATGCACCATGCATGCCTAGGTAGCAACTGACAATAAAACTATGCATGTGTAATGCCTGAATTTTGAATTAAAAAAGGCAGGCTCGACTAGAATGTTTTTAGATATGTTAAGAGCTACACAATTTATCACGAAGGTTTGAGCTCTTTTCTTGAAGTTTTATAATCACCATAAGGAACTTCCCCAACAAAGTGCAGACATTGCGTTTCAATAATGCTTCAGAAACATCACATGTTTTCAGATGTAGTGAAGGAATTAAAAAGAAATTAATTCTCACTAATTATATGCAAGTGTGAGATATGACCTGGGGTGGTGGAACCCCTCCAGCATCTTTGTGGGAACTTGGGTCCAGAGACGGATTAATCATCTGATGATGTGTATCTTCACTTGAAACATCTATTTGAGATTGAAAAGTTGGGCTTGCAAATCCAACATTCTTCCGGAAATTTGGTGACCCTCTACCAGATGCGAAGGGATCACCTCCACTAGATACAGAGAAGTCTGAAACCCTAGGAGCAGAGCCCTCATTTGCAAACCTATCGTCAAACATTTGGTCACTTAAGTGACCAGGACTGTAAACAAAACTAGAAACTTTCCCCATATAGTGCCCTCGGTCTGAACCAGGCTTCCTAGAAAGTGCAGCAGCAACTTGTTTACCATAACGCCGGTCTTCATATTGATAGTCATATGGTGGACTTTGAGAATAAGAATGATAAGAGCTGGCACGTCTCATTTCATCTTCATGATTTCTATGACTCTGTCAAATTCATTTAAGACTCACACATTTAAATCACTGCTCCAATATCTAGAGAAATGTATTCAAATAAAACTGAGAGAGGAGCATGTAGAAATGCTAATATCAAGAGGTGAGCTTGTCCAGTGTTATCAAGGCCTAGGTGTTGCACCTTAGTGCCAGAAGGCAAAAGTGCCTCAGACCATTTCAAGCAAGTTCATTTTTTTTAAATGACCTTAATAATGGAGAGATCAACTCCACTTTCTATAAAAAGTTTTTTTTTCAAAAAAAAGAAAGAAAGATAAAGCTAAAGTCATTTTAGGAAATATATATATGTAAATTAGGAAGTTCAACCTCGTATGAAATCATCCACAACCGTATTTGTTTCACTTTATAATTAGAATGTATGGTTTTAGGGAAAGATCCAAGCAGCATTAAGGTTTAGCAATAAAAATTAATTTGAAGAATTGAAAGTTTGAGCTATGTATATCATGTACGAAGAAATTAACCTGCATGTCTCTTGGAGGCTTGTCATGCGTTTTTCCTCCAGCGTATTTTCTGTCCACATATACATTCTTTATGAAGTCCCGGATTTTATCAGCATTGCTGCAATGAGAAAGAGTTATTAGAAAATCCCATATCTATCGAGAACGTGCTTAGTACTTTAAGTGAAAAAAGAAAAATAAAAACCTATTCTGCACCTGCTGTCTGGCAATCTTTGCCTCTGCAGGTCCCAATCCTTAAGATAAATATCTCTTGCACGCTAAAAAGAGTAAAACAAAGAACTTTAGCATTACAATAAGCGTCACAATCTTGCCATAGATAACAACAAATGTAACACGTTTACACACCTGATTACCACCATTCTGAAGAGCTTCAACTTCCTGTGAAGTGAACTTTGACATTGATACAGACTTTACACGATGCGTAAACTCACGACTGCAATACAAATTAATATGAACACAAACGAACACCAGCATAAGAAAGAAAAAAATGGTAGAACCGAAAGGCTCAATTCTGCGATGTGGTGTCACTCCACCATAATCATGCAAAGTAAATATAAATAAACAATCATGGACCAAATTGGAAACGAACCATGCATTAAGTCCTTTCAGTTAAGTACACTTAAAACCATCACATGAGCAATAACTGAAGTCGCAAGAAGTTTATCTTTTCAAAAATCATAATGCATGAATCCTATGCTGCACCTACTCTACATTTCTTTAAGTACCCACGTCCGACACGTGGGTATGGGTAAATGGTCATCTGAGCATGACCTACAAAGATCTTCCAAATACGTGGAAAACCTTTGAAAAGCTTGACCATACTAGTGTCAGATACTGGGACGGAACCACATGGGAGGTGAGAAGGGAAATTGCTCCCCCGCCCCCAAACTTTGATGGTTTAATTGGTTTTAGGTCACTAAAATTTTTGAAATCAATGCAATTAAGACATTGCCCCTCCCAAATTTATTGGTTTAATAATATTTCAGGACCCTTTTAGTTTTAAAAATGAAATTTTAACTTCTAGTTTTTTTGGTTTAATTACTCTTTAAGATCCTTCAATTTTAAAATTAGTGAAATTAAACCATAACTCCTTTAACTGTTATGGTTTATTCGATTTTAGAGATCCTATTTATTTGAAAGTTAAATAACTTGCCCCCTCATAGTTCAATCCTGACTCCGCCCCTGGTAGGATACATACCCGTATCCAATAACCACAACCAAGTTCAAGTAACATAGCATTGATGAATTTACATAGTTCCAAAAACCGCCAAGGTTCTCAACGGTGAAATTATTTCTCTTTCAAAATAGTAGATGCTGAAATAACTAAAATAAAATACTCACTGAATCCCACTGCAAGTCATGCAAATGAAAGTCCAGAAATTTGTGCAAACATACTGAGGACCCTGCAACAATAACCTGAAATCTATTAGTTTCAGCAGAATATAGAAAGAAACAACAAAGCAAATCTCAACACTCTTTTCAAACCAGCTGATTTATCATCTTCAAAATCACTATTAATGGATTCATTGCATTCAAGAATCAAGAAAACCCAATTTGGGAAAACCATGTCTAAACCTCAAATCCATCTTCTTTTTCACTAATTACAAACCCAATTACAGAAACCATTTCTTTCCATTTCACCATATTTTTTTTTTTCTGAACACACGACTTAACTACAAAAACACATAAGCCTACAGCTTTTTTTCTCATTAAAAAAAAAGAAGAAAGTTTGAAAAAAAATTACCAAGCTGTTACAGTTAATGCAACGACGATTAGGAGGCAGTTTCATGAGACCTCTTATTATCTTCTCGTTTCGTTCTTCTTCTTTCCTGCTTCCCATTTCTCAAAACAAACAAATATGATATTTCAAAATTAACAAAAACCCTCAAACACTCCCTGAAAGCTTCAAAATTTATCAAAAACCCAGTTGGAATTTACAACTTTTTTGCTCGAAATAAACCTTATACTAAAGCATAAATGGAAGAAAATTTAGAAAATTAGAAGCTTTGGGTTTTGGCCTTTTGGGGATTTTTGGTCACTAGAAAAAGGAAGTCCTTTTTTTCCTTTTTAGTCAGCATGGTGATAGGGACAACAATACATGTGCCTTAGTTTTGAATAACAATAATAAATTAAATTAAATAATTATTTATCTATTTTCAATTATAGATTAATTGATTTTTTATTTAAAAAATCTCAACTAATTAAGTTTTTAATTTATGGTTAAATATTTTTTAGTTTGATAACGTCTAATTAGTTAACATTTAAATAAGATGAACATTTTAAAATTTTAAAAATCTTTAAAAAATGAAATATAAAAAATTTAATAGGAGAGACAAGTTTTTAATTGATTTAAACTCGATTTAAATTGATCTTAGAAATACTTTTATCTATCAAAATTTAATCCAAAAAATTAATTACAAATTCAACTATAATCTGACTTAATTTATATAATTTTTACTTTTTTACATATTTTTTAATAAAATAAAAAATAATTGAATAGAATTGATGAGAAATAAAAAGTTAAACGATTCAATTAAGAAAGTAAGCAAAAAAATTAAAAATAAAAGTAAAAAATTAAAATAATAATGAAGATAAATTGGATATAAAGACGTTTTTTGTTTAATTCTCTAAGAATATCATGCTTTAATTATCTAGACAAGTCAAATATAAGAAAAGATGAATGTTTAATCCACTATATTTGCTGAAATGGATGATTGGAAAACAAGAAATTAAAATACTCATTGCTAAATTTGTGGAGTTTAAAGTGTTTTTCGATTAAACGAACATCAGATAGGCATTACTGATATTGTTTAAAACTCAAACTGTCTGCAGTTAAACCAAGATTGATTCCATCTCTGAATCTGTAATTGTATACCCAACACTGATATTTGTAGCATCTTGGGCAAAATTAAGTCCAGGCGAGGCTGCATCCCTAGGCTGTAAATGAACTGAACGTTCAACGAACCGTTCATGAACCGTGCGGCGGGAAGTTCGTTTATGTGCGTTTATTTATTAAATGAACGAACATGAATAAGATTTTGTGTTCGTTTAATTAAATGAACGAACACGAACATATGTCTCGTTCGTTCATTTACGTTCGTGAATGTTAGGTTATGTTCGTTTATGTTTGTTCGTTTATGTTCGTTCGGTTATGTTCGTTCATTTATGTTTAACCCAATCTTCTTAAATCAATTTTGGTGATCAATTTGTAAGTATCTTAAAAATATTAATTAATCTAATATTCTGATGACCAACCTCATAATTAACCCAATTTTATTTGAAGATTAAATCAAATATGTTAACCCGTGAGGCACCTCGCACCTATATTCATTTTCCTCCTTTTTCCCAAACTCTAGTGTTCACTGGAGAGGGGAGACGATCGATGAAAGCTTCAAAACAATTTATATTATAGTGCAATTTGAAGTTTTACAGGTCTGTTTTCATCTATTTATCTGTTTTATTTGGCTTAATAGTTGATATGTAAAGTTATTGTGGAAGTAATGGGTTTTCCAGGAAGAACCCATTAATAAGTAGAAAATACACTTTGACAATGAACTTTTGTTTTCATAGTTATTGTGTGACCTTTAGTTGTGGAGTAGACTTTAGATACATTAAAATTTTGAATGGTGGTTTAGCAATAATATCAGTTAGATATGTAGCATAAGAGGGATTTCGAATCTATGTTATTGCCTTGTAGTCCAATTTGTACCCTTCAAAATTTTTATGCTGTTAAATTTTCTATTCTGCCAATGAAAATTATCATTATTAACAAATCTCACTAAAGTCTGACATTGAAGTCACCAAACTTTTAACCGGCGAATTTATTAGAATAACGTAGTGGAAAATAATTGTTCATATGTAATCATGGACCACTAAGATAAATGTTATAGCGTTAAATTAAAATCATGTGAATCATTTAACATCTTTAAAAGATCGATCGAAATATCTGATATCTTCAAACATTTCATCACTGCTAATCAGTTCTTACATTATTTATCATTGTAGATTTGGTTAATTTGCATTGTCAACTATTTTTCATAAAAGATCAATGGAAGGCAAGGTCTCCAACTTTTATGTTCGTTTATATTCGTGTTCATTTATGTTTGTGGTCGTTTATTTATTAAATGAACGAACATGAACAAATTTTTTTTTTGTTCGTTTATGTTCGTTTATGTTTGTATTCGTTTATGTTCATTTATTTATTAAATGAATAAACATAAACATACCTCTGTTCGTGTGCGTTCGTTTAAAGGCCTATGCATCCTGTTTAAGCCTCTTAACATAATTGGACTTGCTCCTCTTACCTCCTGTGCATCTGACTTGGCTCAACATACTCTTTTCATGTAGTATTTTTATTTTTATACTATATGATCATATTCTTCGCAAGATTCTCACGTTTTTCCGGTAATAAAAAACCATATCCGACACGAAATCGGATAGACATTCAACAATTTTCATCAAACAAAGATATTCATTAAAGAGAATGCCAAAAACTATTGTAGCTTAGACTAATAGGGTTCCATACAATGCAATTCTAGAAAACAATGCAATATATTGCTGCTAGGTACAAGATACCAAAGGTGGAAAAACCCTACCATTGCAAGCAAATATGCTAAGCAAATTTGAGCACAAAAGATAGATTCCTCCACCACGATACCATGCCAAGCTCCGTGTGTGGTCTACATCGACGAAAGACACAAAAAGGGATAAGTGGGCTTCATCACACTTTATAAGAGAAAAGTTCAATGGTAGTTGTAACGACGTTAAATGTCCGATTCAGACACTATTAATGCTATACATAGAATGAGAGAGAGCTACCACTGTATCAGTCGGCTGGGAACTTGAAAATGAGACAGCACTTGCTATCCAGCTCTATCTTCTGCAACTAATGTAATAGAGTTACAACAATGCATACAAACAAAATGAATGTGACAGCCTTCAGCTTCGTCGATGAGCTAAATAAATACGCCTTGGTGATCAAGATGGAGGGATATACTTAAGATGTTGCTCGTAGAAGTTGATTAACTGAAATGGAAGGAAAAAAGACAAAAAAAAGGTGCTTGAATTGTCAGCTCTTGGAGCCAGTTCTGATTAAGGAAAAGATTGGGCAAGAAGATGAACCGTTACCAGCAGTGGATTGTTAGCTTTAAGATATTGGTTGTCCACCATGACCTCTTTTCCATCAGACCTGTCAAAAACGCGCCAAAAACAAAATTTGAGTACTTTCAAACTATACGATCATATATAATATCAGTAAGGGTCTCTTCTGATTAACATCAAAATGCAAAACCTAGAAATTTGAGTATTCTAACAGTTCATGTCACAAAATTAGTTACTATGTCAGTGGCCACTGGCAATAGAAACATCAACTTAAATATTAATACAGCAGAATATGATAGCTTATGCAAACAAGAACCATACTTCAACCCAATAACACCACCCACCGAGTGCAACGCAACAAGTCACATTAACCAAAACTTCGGAACTTTCATAGGGCAATAAATTGATTATGATCTGAAAGCGCATATACGTTGAAGGATAGAAGTTTCAACATAAAAGGTACTAAACAAAACGTAGATATACAAGACACAATAAATCAGCCAATTAAGGTAACAGTGGCAAGCAATTATACACTTTAGGAAGTTATTTGCAGTCCAATTACTTCTTGATAGAGAAAAGAGAACAGATATAATAAAAGCTTTATTTCATTTATCTGGTAAAAAGATGTCTCACTTTCCACTACAATAGGTTTCAAGGTTTAGAAGACAGAAGCACAGAGAATAATTTCCATATAAAAGGTGGTAACGAACCTGAGTGCCAGAAAGGTTACAGAGACATCTTGATCATTGTCTGATATGGAAGCTGAAAATTCTACAGGCTTGATGATCTTGGTTATGACAGGTACATTTACAGAATTATCAATCAGGGGCCTATGACTCAAACCATCTGCTGTTAAACCAAGATTAACCATTTCCATATCTGCATCTGTAATTGCATAGCCAACATTGATAGCATTTTGAGTCAAATTAGGTCCAGTAGAAGCTGAATCCTGTTTAAACCTCTTAACAGAACTAGGCTTCCTCCTTTTAGCTCCTGTGCGACGATCACTCGGAACTGATTCCCCAACCCTTGGTAGCTCATTGACAGGACCATCACCTTCAGAAGCCTTGCCTTCTTGGAACCGTACTGCAAACTTATCTGCGTTGGTCCCTTTGGAAGATAGTGCACCTTTTAGCTCACTAAGCTTGGTATCATAATCATTTTCATCCTTCTTCCCATCAATTATCTTTGAACCGTTTGCAGAACTGTTTTCCTTAACTCTCTTAGATCTTTTGACAGTGTTGCCATTTCCGTTACATTCTCCCTCACGTAATGACACTGTAACTGTACTTGAAGCAGAAAGATCAGGAATGCCAGAATCATCAATGGGAACCAAGGGAGGCTTATCAATAACACTAACTTCAAGATCAGTTGAATTATATGTAGCAATAGAGGAACTCGTCTGCTTCTTCTTGGAATGTGTATGAAGACCACCATGCTTGCGTTTGCGCTTTCGTCCCTGCTTCCCTGAATGTAAGCTTCAAAGCATAAAGAAACGTAAGCAAATAATTACACGAAAGGACGAATTGATTCCGTACACCTTGTTTGCTAAACAGTTGAAGAGACGAAAAAGGAAATGAAGACCAGAATGTTACTTTCCCAATTTATACAATTTTCCTTACCCTATAAAAGGAAGACACAACTAAACTTGACCAAATAGTTATCACAAACTAAACAAATTCAACCATTTGCCATATATCAAAGGGATCGATAGCACTAATTAGTAACTTAACAATAAAGCCGAATTTGGCTACTCGATCGAAGACTCTCGGTCTAATTAATATGAAACAAAAATAATGAATAAATGCATTCGAATATAGGAAGTCAATGAAATCTTACCTTGCCTCAAATACATCTATAACATCAGAACAAGACTGTAGATTCTCCAATGGCTCCCATGTATTCGCAGCTTCCGGCCATCCACGCCTTAAAAACACAATAACAATCACCCA